GGAGTTGAAGTCCACAAGTCTAAAAAGCTGCCTCACCAGCCATAAAGCTCACCGCACGTCACTGCTAAGAACTCAGGTAAGATGAAAAAAGGAACAAAAGTTCAATTTTCAACTTTCTGGCTAGCTAAAAAATGGTGATACCAATGTAACTAGTTGCAAGGTTTTTTGGGGAAAAATCCTGTACAATAAAGTGCAATTGATACTATTCAGAAATCTATTCATCCTAGGACTGGGAAGTATTTTCTATAGATTATCCAAGATCGTTTAACTCAGGGGTAGTCAACCTTTTTATACCTACCGCCCACTTTTGTATCTCTGTTAGTAGTAAAAAAAAATTAACCGCCCACCGGTTCCACAGTAATGGTGATTTTATGAAAACCTAATGAAAATGTTTTTAAATAATGCTATGACATTTTAAAAAAAAGGCAATTAATTTTTTTTAAAAAGGAAAGTGCTTCAGTATTGGACAAAACCCCTACCGCCCACCATGAAAGCTGGAACGCCCACTAGTAGGCGGTAGGGACCAGGTTGACTACCACTGGTTTAACTAGTGGTGATTTATACATGCCTTACTACTAAATTCAAGTGTTTTTCAACCCCGGCAACTTTTCAAATCTGTGGATTTCAACTCGCAGAATTCTGGGAGTTGAAGTCCGCACACCTATAAGAGGTCAAAGTTGAGAAACACTGCACTAACCAATATATTTTCTTTAATTATTCTTACTCGCTAATCTCAGTGCAGTGAAGCCATCTGAGCAAATAACACTAATGTTCACCTCCAAGAGTTAACCACAGAGACTCTTAAGTGACCTCCAAAAGGGGAGGGAGGAATACTCACCTCATCTTTGAGTTGAGCCAGGAAGAGAGGTAAGAGATGCTCAATTGTATTGTCCTTGCCCAGAATAGGGGACAATCCCATGATCACGGATGCCAAAGCTGATTTCACGTGCTGATTGGCATCTGATACTAGTTCCTAAATGATAAAAGGACGTATTTTAAGACACCACAAACTATGTATGCAATGCCTTCAGTCTCACTGCCTTTATACGCACCATTGCTGTCAATTTATTTGTTGATTGTAATAAATAACTGGAATATTGAAATACAGTTCCATAAGCCAATGAAGTCACATCAATGGAGTATTGAAATACAGTTCAATAAGACAATGTTGAACTTCTACAATCAGGCACTTATAGGCATACATCTACAACACACACTCATAGAGGAAGTCAGCCAGATTCCTTCTACAATTTGGTCACCTTGTGAATGTTAATGTCTTAAGAGGCAGAAGCAAACAACAGCTTTCCTTGTCCTCTTTATGGACAACTCCTCCATGCCTTCTTCAGCCTCTGATTGGGCCAATTAAAACTATGAGCTGATGCTTATAAGGGCTGCTCAAAAGTTACTAGAGAAGGTGGCTTCCTGGTACGTACCTTGATACAGGGCAAAATCTGAGTCATTATGATATTTTCACGGCAATCGGGAGACAAATTCTCACAGAATTCTTGGGAAAGAAAGATGGGGAAATAAGAATTTCAGTGCAGATTTCACCCAGGTAATATTTTTTTCCCTAATTATCAACTGAGTACTTACTTAAACCCCTCTAGTCCAAGAGATACTATACTCATCTGCGAAACTACACATAAAAATATTCCTGAAGTCTGTTCTGAAAACTTAAAAGTCTTCCTACAGCTGGATCCAGACAATTTCTTTATGTCTACACAACAAGCGGCTCCTTAAAACAATTACGCAACCCGGTTTATTTAATAAATCAAATTCTTCTTTTCTTGCCCAGAAATCCATCCCTTTCAGAAAGCCTTTATACAGGTAGTCCTTGAGTTAAAAAGCCAAACTGGGACAAGAATTTCTACTGCTAAACAAAGCATCTATGTAAACATCAAGACAGTATTGATAATGACTAAAAATAACCTTTGACTTTGCTAGAAGCTGCTGCTCGCACTTCAGCTTCACAGTCTTTCATGAGATTCTGGAAGGCCGGGACCAAGTCAGTTTTTGTGATTTCTGGCCCAACAGCTTTCTGGAGCTATAGGGGGGAAAAAAAGAAAGAAAAGAGTTTCAAAACTGATCATGCAAACACTCCAAACAGCACAACATTCCTCCCTGCCAGAAAGAATTCTACCCCAAAAACTCTTGGTCCACAGAATTGACAGTGGTGGGCAGAAGAACAAAAGCATCGATACATTTTTAACATGTATAATCTCATTTAACTTTCAAAAACGAAGCCAATATAATCTTCCCAAATACACAAGTATTTGTACAAACCTCCGTGAACTTCTCAGCCACCATGTAACGGACTCGCCAAGACTTGTCCTCGGCTGCTTGTCGTAACGTCGGCATCACCAAGGACTCCAAGTCCTCCTGAAGCAGGAGCTGAGCAATATTAACACAGGCCTCCACAGCCAACAAGCGCACAGAGTCCTGTGTGTAACGTGGAAAATCTTCCTCACCAAGAGCACAAAGGGTAGGTACAGCCCATCCCTCAGCTCCCTTTATCACCCCAAAGCTAACACGAGGCCATGCAGACCTGCTCATCAGAGGCCAGGTTCGAAAACATGGGAATGATCTCGCTTTTGACATATTCCAGTTCCAAGACCTTGGCAAATTCACCCAGTTTGGAAGCTGCAGCTCGCCTCACCATCGGAGTATCATCTGAACACAAGTTTCGGAAATATCTGCCAAAAAATAAATAAAAAGGAAGGTAGAAACTTATTAACTGCAAAATACTGGGATAGGAGGAATCTCTCCTCTTTTGATAATTCAGAATTTATAATGGAGTCCCAATTTTGATTGCAAGGCACTAGACTTACTGGCGGAGGTCAGCTTTAACTGAACTGGAAACTCGGGGATAGCAGACGCTGAAGAGGCCACAAGCAGAGGTGCGGGAGGTGAACCAGTCACCCCCCGCCAGGCGCTTCACCAGGGGCACAAAGTGTGCCTCAAGGTCAGCTGGAGAATGTTCATTGGAGGTTGCCCTCAAGGACTCCACGGCCTTGTCCCGCACCACCGTCTCCTCGACCGTAGCAAGGCTTTCGAGGGGGGGCTGGAGAAAGGAGGAAGAAATGGTGTGTTACATATGCATATTGCATGAACAACCAAGAAAGAAAAACAAAATAGCTCTCTGATAATTTAATTACTGCTTTGTTCATTTGGGTTCACTACAAGAATTTAAGTAATTCTGTTCTTTTTTGAGAAGAGGGTAAGAAAGTCTACACAGGGAGCAAGGAATATGATCGAAAAATAGGATTTGTGCATCCACAAATCCATTAGGAGCCGAGGTGGCGCAGTGGTTAAATGCAGCACTGCAGGCTACTTCAGCTGACTGCAGTTCTGCAGTTTGGCTGTTCAAATCTCACTGGCTCANATGGATGGATGGATGGATGGATGGATGGATGGATGGATGGATAGATAGATAGAATTCTTTCTTAGCGAAGGTGATTGGATATAGAAGGAATTTGTTTCTGGTGTCTAAGCTCTCACTGTACACAACTAATTGTACATACAAACAACAAAGTAGCTCATAGTAGCAATCATTACTCATACACAAGTGTATGTATGTAGATACGGAGAGCTATATAGATACACTTGTATGTACCTGAGGAACAAACCATCAGCCGACCTCAAAGGCTTTGTGCCCCACCTGACAAACCTTGTCTCCCTCCACAACATGGACGGAGAGCATTCATTCGAATAGCCACGAGTAGCCCCATGCACAGACTGCTTGTGGTTTTCAGCATGATTGCACTTAGCTCACCCTACGGTAGGAGGTTCCTTCTTCTTAAACATTTTGAAGAACTAAGAATTCAGTCTTCTGTAGCACAATTTCCACTTTCCTCTGTCTTATTCTCCTGGGGGAGAACCCCTCGCCCCAACTCATGCCAGTAATTTCTTACCCATGTTACAAGAAGGAAAAAATCTGTATTTAGTCAGCCATTTTATAATCGGTCTGGTAATTTGGGAGGAACTGCAAAATCTCTCAAAATAGAGCTACTGTATGTGTCTCCTCTCTGGAAACCCCCTGCATGCATATTGAACAGCTAGGCAATTCCCCTGTAGAAGGAACACACCACAGGGCAAGGCATTGTCTCCCTTTGTGTCACAGTTCTTTGAAGCCCAGTGGGCAGAAAATGCTCATTCAACCAAATTGAGTGTGCGGGGATAATTGGTGCAACTTGGAGTAGACTCTCTCGTGAGCTCAGGTAGCTCCATGGAGAACGCGTACGAATCTTCTGGCAGTGTATGATTTCCATGGAACTCTTGCCGTTATCAAAATTAACCCTGTGAGAAATTTGTCCCCATATTTAGATTCAATGTTCCTACCGTGTTTCCCAGTGGTGGGATTCAAATAATTTAACAACCGGTTCTCTGCCCTAATGACCATCTGGGTAGGNATTATACCTAACAAGAATAACTGAGGAGTAAACTTTATCCTCTTGGGTCTTCATAGTTCTGGTGTTCAGAAAGTTCATAAATGGTGGTTCCTTTCTTCCATCTCCCTGAACGGGTGAAAACAAAATCATGTCTCAAGCATAATTAGACTGGATTGTGAAATGAGATTTGGAAGTTGCAATCCATAGGCATTTTAGCCCATTCCTCCTTCAAAACTGTGAGCTTCCCTCTTCTTGATTTCTACTCTCTCTAAAGGAAATGACACATCAGATGATTGTGTCCCTGCGGTGTGCGGTTGATATATTAATAAATCAGAACATTTAATCTCGGGTTTTTTCCTTTTCCTTTTTTATTAATTTTTTATTGAACAGTTTTTTCCATTATTTTTTTAAAACATAAATATCATCTATGCAACATTTCTACATCGTTAAATATCCATTATACTCCTTTTATCCGTACATATATACATATACATATACATTTTTATACATTTTTCATCTACTCCTATTATTATTTATACTTATATTTCTTCTATTCACATTACTCTTTCTATGTACTTGTATCTATACATCTTATATCCTTCTATGTACATATATTTCTCTTATACTTCTTATTCCGTACTATTTTATATACAATCTATCTTACATTTTCCCCCTCTTGTTGATTCTGGAGTTTTATGATTATTTTCTGATTTCTTAATCTTTATCTCTCCCTTTATTGTTTTCCTATTCTTTGCATCTTTCCTCTAGCCATTTGTACCATAAGTTCCATACTGAAGAGTACTCGAATTCTTCTCTGTTTTTTATTTCCTTTGTAAGTCTGTCCATTTCGGCGCATTCTAATACTTTTTTTAAATCACATTTTCTGCTGTTAGTGTATTTTTGTTTTTCCATTTCTGTGTGTACATGATTCTTGCTGCCGTTATTACATGTGTTATTAGGTATTTGGGTTTTTTTCTCATAACACTCTGTAATTATTCCTAATAAAAATAATTCCAGTTTTAATTCTCTTCGTTGTGTAATTATCTTTTCCAGCCAGTTGGTTTTTTTCCCCTTATTTATAACTCTTCGTAAAGCTGTTACAATGTACAATGCAAGTTTCAACAAAACCCAGTTTTTTAAGGATTCCTTTTTCTGCATTGACAGATACTCCCCCCCCCAAATGAGGAAGGGCTTCGATTACAATTTTTATTGTATGTGTTTGTAGAATTCTAACCTGCTTTTAATCATGTTATTGTCCTTGCAGCTTATAACTGCCAGATAATACGGATTTCCCTCCACTTATGATCATAATATGGATTAGAATATCTGTTGCTAAGCAAGGCAGTTGTTAAATGAATTTGTGACCTTTTTTGCCATAGTTGAGTGATGTTAAATGAATCCAGCTTCACCCACTGGCTTTGCTTGTCAAAGGTTGGCTGGGAACAGAGGTGGGTTCCTACCAGTTCGCACCTATTCGGTAGAACCAGTTCGTCAAATCTAC